AAAAACGAACCGCTCAATACGAAACATGCAAAGGAAAGAAAGAGAGACAGAGAGAGACGTACGGACGGTTGAATGGGAGTAAGGAAGGATGAAGAGAAAGAGAGAGAAGGAAGGAAAGAAAAAAAAAACGTTAAATATTCTATTAAATTATTTACTGAAAAGTTGTTTTTTCTCTCTCTCTCTCTCTCACTCTTTTCGTTATTTTATTATTATTATTATTTGTTGACCGGAAGGGAATTCATTTCGAATCGGTTTCTGTTTAGTTTTGGTTTGTCTTCTTCCCCGTCGTTCACCACTAAAAAAAAAAGAAAATTTTTTTTTTGTTTGTCATCATTATAGAAAAACGATTTTGATGCAACAAACGGAGGGAGGGGGAAGCGTGAGTGAGTGAGTGAGTTCGCGGCGCGAGGTAAATAAACCGGAAATGATGATGATGATGATGATGATGATGATAATAATGTTTTGTTTATTTTCGTTTTTCGTATCGCGTAGAAAATTTCGATAAATTCGTTTAGAAAAAATTTTTTTTTCCACGTCGTGCGTTCTTTTTTTTTTTTTCGAAAATAGCAGACGAAAACAAATTTCGAACAATTTTTTTTTTTTGGGGGGGGGGCGGGGAAGGGAGAGCGACAGTAAAATAAAATCAGGAAAAGAAGGAAACGAAAAAAAAAAAAAAAAGAAATTCCTGAAGAATTCGAGGCGGAAGAAAAGGAGGAGGAAAATCCATTCGGGAAAATTTTTCGGCAGTTTAAAAGTTTGCGTCTGAACGTTTTTTTCCCTCTCTTATTATTATTATTATTATTATTATTATTATTATTATTATTATTATTTTTACGTCGGATTTGGGTGGATAAAGAATTTTTCTTGGAAAAAAAAGGGAAAAAAAACCGAATGCCGTTTAGAAGAAATTCAGTTTCAGACAGAAGACGAAAGGATAACGAACTTTCCGTCGAACAAAAAAAAAAAGAGAGAAAGAGAAAGAAAAGCAGAGGAGGAGGAGAAGGAAAAGGAGGAGGAAGAGAGAGAGAGAGAGAGAGAGAGAAAACGTTTTCTACGTCTTAAGTTATATTTACCTTTTTTTTCTCTCTCTCTCTTTTTTTTTTGATCTTCTTTTTGTTTTTAAGCGGAAAATTCCTTTCGAAATGTTTTTGGGTTTGTAAGATGAAAAGAAAAGAAAAGAAAAGAAGAAAAATGACGTCGGGTTTCTCCTTCCGACAGATGATAATGAAAGAAAGAAAAAAGAAAATTAATAAGAAAATGAAACAAATTTTTTTTTTTTTTTTTAATAAGACAAAAAGAAAAAGAAAAAATTTAAGCGAGGATTATTATTATTATTATCATCGTTATTTTGTTTCTGAAATGTTCGAGTCGACGGAAGTCATCGATGTAAAAAAAAATTTTTCGTACCTGAGAGATTTTTTTTTTTTTTTTTTTTTAAAGAATGAATTTTTAAAAATACGTTTATTATTATTATTATTAATAAATTTGAATCGATGAGATTCCCGGAATGGGAATGAATGAATGAATGAATGAGAAAACGTGGGAAAAAGGAAAGAGAGAGAGAGAGAGAGAGAGAGAGAGAGATGGAAGGTAAAAGGAAAAAAAAAAAGAAAATTTTTTTTTTTTTTTTTACAGATCGTTAAAATCCGGTAAATTATGGATTTTACCGTCTGGAAAATTCCTCATGCAAAAAATAAAAAAAGATTCTTTTATTCCCGACGACACGCCCAGGGAAAAGAAAACAAACAAACAAACAAACGGAAACCGTTTGTTTTAAAATTATATTTAACAAAAAAAAATGGATATTTTTTGTAAATAATCATCTGACCGCGGATTTTGGACCGTTTTGTTTGTCGTTCATCAAGACAACGACAGAGGGGGTAGCGGTGGTGGTGGTGGTGGTGACGTCAGAGGCGGACGCAACAATGACGTAGACAAAAGTAGAATTTCCGGTTTTATTTTTGGGAAAATCTTTTTTTTTTTTAAATTTTTTTTTTTGCGGTTTCCGACGGGAGACGCCCTCTCTCCTCCCCTCCCCCCTCGCAAGAGTTTGTTCGATTGTTATCATCATCATCATCATCATCATCATCATTATTATTATTATTATTATTCTCGTTTTTGTTTTTTCGCGTGGAAAACAAAGCAAACGCGTGAATTCGACCAATAAGAGTAACGAACGATTTTTTCGCCCGTTTAATTTATCATTCCGTTATCGTTTCCGGTTGTTTGTTTGTTTGTTTGTTCCAGAACTTTCGTTTTTTTTTTTGTCCAGGATGTCGCCGTCGTACGTCCTTGAATATAATAATAATAATAATAATTTTTTTCCGTTTACACTTAGTAGGCTCGAGTTTGATGATTTGCGATTCGCGCGCGACGATGTTTTGCGTGTCACGTGATTTTCAAAAAAAGGAAAATTTTCCCGCCATTTTTTTTGTTTTTGTTTTTGAAAAGGTCAAAATACGCGCGACGTGATAATAATTTATGATGCGTGTAATCCACCACTTGTATTTTGGAAATTTTTTTATTTTTATTTTTTTTCGTTGGAAAATTCATCCGTAAAAATCGGGGGGATGGGGGGAAGGAGAAGGGGAAAACTGTTGCTTCCGTTTTTTTTTTTTTTTTTTTTTTATACTTAATTCCACGTAATTTAATCGTGGCATATTTCTCAGGAAATAATTCAAAAAAAAAAAAAAAAACAAAAAATTATTTTTTTTTTTATTTTTCCCGAGTTATAAAACAAACTTATAGATTTTCCATTAATTTCCTTTTTTTTTTTCCTTTCTCCTTTTTTTTCTCCTTTCTCCTTTTTTTTCTCCTTTTTCCTTTTTTTTTGTTTTTATCTTTTTCAATTCCAAAAAGGGTTGCGTGAGCTTTCTGGAAAAGGTTTTTCTCTTTTTTTTTTTTTTTTGTCAGAGGAAAAAAAAAAGTTTTCCCTGATCATTTTGAAAGGCTTAAATTTTTCTTTTCTTTTTTTTTATTATTTAACGAAAGGCTTAAAGTTTCTTTATTTTTCGTCTGCTTTTCTCCTCTACCTTTTTCACTCGTCCTTCGTCATTCTCCCCCCTCCCGTTGTTCTGGATTATAAATAATGAAATTCAAACTTTTTTCCGTTCGGAATTTTACACGAAATAAAAATCGCAAAAAAAAAAAAAAAAAAAAAACTTTTAAACAGTAATTTTCTTTCTCTCTTTCTCTCTCTTTCTTTCTTTCTCTCTCTCTCTTTCTCATTCTCTCTCTCTCTATCTCTTTTTTTCTCTCTCTCTTTCTTTTTCTCTTTCTCAATGGGTACGTTAAAAAAAAAAAAGTAAACATCGCGATATCTATCGTCTCTCTTTGTTTTTTTTTTTTGCGCGCGCGAACGTCTATTGACACGTTTTTTTTTTTCTCCTCACCGTCGATAATAATAATAATAATATTTATAAATTTCACTCAACGTTTTGGCTTTGATATTGAAATAACGTAAACAATTAAGAAAAAGTTTTCTCGCGAACGTTGGAAACGATTAAAAAGAAAAAAAAAGTATGAACGAACGTGTGATCACGGTAGTGACGTCACGAGAAAAAGAGAGAAATAATAATAATGTTTTTCTTTTTTTTCTTTACAGTTGTGGACGGAGGAAATCGTCAAATTGGCGTACAACATAAATCAAATGAATTTATCACCGACGAGATTTTTAGAAAAAGCTCACACGAGGATATCACTGATGACGGATAAAAACGACAAGATACCCGTTAAGAACATAATCAAAATGTTCGCACAGAACAAGGACGATAAGAAAAGAGTGGAAAAAGCTTTGGACGGAGCCGGAATGCCCTCCGGTAAAAGCGACGGGATATCAATTCAAAAATTCACGTTCGAAGATTTTTACAATTTCTACAAGAATTTAACGCTGAGAACGGACGTTGAAAAAATATTCGACGAAATGTAAGTTTAAAACATTATTATTATTAATATACAAACAAAGGTTGAGAAGGAAGGTAGAGGAAGGAAGAAGAGAGGAGGAGGGGGAGGTAAAAAGAAAGCGAAACGAAACGTAACGAATCGATTTGGTCGCGTGTGTGTGTATGTGTGTGTGCGAGAAAAGTCTGATGCCACGTTATAATTAGAAAACAATTTAAAAGGCGGTGAAAAAAATGTTTACGTCACGTTTATTAATAATAATGATTATGATGATTTTAAGTTTTCATCCTTTGAAAATTAATTTTTGTTAAACGACGACGACGACGACGACGTTCTCACGTTCGGTCGGGAAAATATTATTATTATTATTATTATAATTTGTATCCCACTGAAACCGATTCGACCGCGAACGTAATTAACGAAAACGTTTGTCGCCTTCGCGGTAATAAGGGGAGGAAGAGGGAGGGGGAGGAAAACGGACGGAAGTTAAAAAAAAAAAAAAAAATGTCGTATTACGATCGCGTGTTTAAAAATCCGACAAACGACAAACGTGGTAACGTAAGACAAACGTTTTTTTTTTTTTTTTTTTTTTTAAAAAGAGTACGTTGTTGTCTGTATTTTCGTGTAAATAGAAACAAACAACAACAACAACTCTCAAGGGTTTTTTTTTTTTTTTCGAGAGAGAAAATAACTTCCAAAGGAAAATAAGACGAATTATAAAAAAAAAAAAAATTACGAAAGGTCACCATCATTGAAAAGTCGTAATAATGACGTGGCGGCAACTCAAACGGGAAATTTTGTCGAACGGTCAAATAAAGGAACGTGAGAAGAGGGAGGGGGAGAGGGAGGGGACAATAATTTTGTCAAAGATGGAAGTCGGTTTTTAACCAATACGATCCCAAATAAATTAAATAAATTTAATTAAATTCGAATTAAAAGATTAAAAAATAAGTTTTGGCGTGTCCGGTGAGAAAGAGAGAGAGAGAGAAAAAGGAACCGGAAATGCTTTTTGTTTTGTTTCATTTCATTTCATTTCCGAAAATAATTTATTAGAGTTTTCTTTTTGTTTGTTTGTTTTGTTATTGTTGTTGATGCGTTTTCATTTTCTTTTGATTTTAATACATTTTAAATGGTCGTTTTCCATCGGCTTTTCTTCTGGAAGAACGAATCCGTATGGAATGACGTCAAAATGGTGTCGTCACTCGTGAAAAAATTTTCCCCTGTTTAGAAAAGAGTGAAAATCGCGACGCCATTTTGTTCTTTTGTGATTTCGGTGACGGAAATACCTCGTCTCATCCTGTCGATTTTCCGAATTTTTTCCTCTTTCGACCCTTTTTTCCTTCCCCCTCCCCACTTCCCCCACTGTCGGCGGCGATCATCATCATCATCATCGGAATTTTTTTTTGTTTGTTTGTTTGTTTCAATTTAATTTTTTTTTTTTTTTTTTACGTATAGAATGAAAAGGCGTAACAAGTGTTTAAAAATGAAAAACGGAATGTTGGGGAGGGAAAAGGGGGGAGGGGGGAAAAGGTTTCGAAAATTTTTTCGCAATGGGAACGAAATGAAAATTGCGTCATTAACATTTAAAAAAAATTTTTTTTTTTTTTTGCTCTCTCATTTTTCCTTTCCCCCCTCCCCCATTTTCCCGGTTTTTTTTCTCTCTCTCGATTTTTTTTTCCCTCTTTTTATTCCTTTTTTTTTTTTTTTTATTAATTTCACAAAAAAAGGAATAGAAGAAAAAAGGAATCGGAGGAGGACGTAAAGAATTTTTTTTTTTTTGCCGTTTTTTTTTCTCTCTTTTTTTTTGTTTGTTCGTTTGTTTGTTTGTTTGTTTGTTTTTGCCTCTGACAGTTCTGCTCACGATTTTTTTTTTCTTCCTTTTCTTTTCTTTAAAAAAAAAAAAAATCGGTTTTAGGTTTTTTTTTTTTTTTTAAAAAAAGATTTTTGCATTTTTCTTTCTCTACCCCTCTCCCTTTTCTTTCCCGTCGCAATTCTACCTGTCAAATTTCTTTTCCCCCCCCCGATCTCCTTCCCCCGATAAAAAACCGTTTCGGGTTCTTTTGTGGATTTTGCCGATCCTTTTTTTTTTTTTTTTGGAAATTTTTCCCATTATCGAAATCAAGGGTAGTTTTGTGGGGATCCGGTTGATTTTCTTCCCCGTCTTGCCCCCTCCACTTTTTCCCTCTTCCCTCCCCTCTCCCACCCCCTAATAATTTAATGTTGGTTTGTCACAGTGTTAAAAAAAAAAAAAAAAAAAAAAAAAAAACACGGGAAATCGCTTTTTCCGAATTACTTTTTTGTTTTACTTTATTATTATTATTATTATTATTATTTGGTTTTCCTTTTAATGGATTTTAAAAAACGTACGTCGTCCATTAAAATATAATAATAATGATGATGATGATGACGATGATGCAGTCGAATATAATTGTCGTAATTTATCGTTAACGGTATATATATATATCGGAGTCGATTTTTCCGAACGTATAAAACGAACGAATCCCTTTTCAAAAACTTTGTTTAAATCGTTTATTTCTGAGCCCCCCCTCCGCCCCGCCTCCCCCGCGTTAAAAAAAAAGAATTTTCTCGTTGGAAAATTTTAAAGTTTTCTTTTTTTTTTTATTAAGGATGAAGAAAAATTTTAAGATAATTTTTGTCTTAAACTCGATTTTTAAAATTATTAAGAGAAGGGATAAAAGGGAAGAGGGGAGGGGAGGGGAAAACAGTTTTTCTTATTATTATTATTCTTATAAATTTTTCTTTTAATTTTTTTTTTTTTATTGGGTGCGTGTGAGTTTTCTCAAAGGAAAATTAAAACGAACGAAGGAAGAAAAGTGATGAAGACGCGGGTATAATTTTTTTTTTTTTAAATTACCGGAAATTACTTTGACGGGAATGTTCTTTTTAAAAAAAAGCGGGAAACGGGAAGGGAATAATAATAATAATAATAATAGTGAGGTGAATCTTTCGAACGGACGAAAAGAAAATGGAAAAGAATTTTTTTTTTTGTTTTTTTTTTGTTTCACTCCAAAATTTTCGTTTGATTTTTTTGTCGCGACGGAAATTTATCATCATCATCATTATTATTATTATTATTATTGTTGTTGTTGTTGTTGTTGTTGTTGTTAAGAAAAGGAAAAATACGACGTTCAAAGTTTGAACATGTGCCGAACCTTTTTTTTTATTTGAACGGCGTTCGAAATTCGAACGAGTTTTAACAACCGAACACGGAAACCGATTTATTTATATTTATGGCCTTTGCATGTTTTGTAATTATCATTATTATCATCATTATTATTATTATTATTATTATTACTTATCAAAGGCATAAATTGAAGCGGCGTAAATCAATTTTCATAAATCATTCCTTAATTACTATTATTATTATTATTATTCGCGCAAATGGAATGAAAAAAGAAAAACAAAAACAGGGGAAAAAAAAAAAAAAAAGAACATTAATTATATATATATATATAAATTTTACGCTTTCGTTTCAACATACAATTATCCGACGTTACTTTTTTCTTGCAGTTGCGGTACATCGTCCAAAAGAAAATTTTTAACGGCGGAAAAATTCGTCACGTTTCTGAACAAGACTCAACGAGATCCGCGACTGAACGAAATACTCTACCCGTATGCGAACCCGGCGAGAGCCAAAGACCTAATACAGCAATACGAAACGAACAAGATGAACGCTCAAAAGGGACAACTCAGTCTCGATGGTTTTCTTAGGTATTTAATGAGCGAGGATAATCCGATAATAGCATCGTCATCCTTTGATTTATCCGACGACATGGATCAACCGCTTTCCCATTACTTCATTAATTCTTCGCACAACACTTATTTAACAGGTAAAATAAGTACTCTGTTTGTTTGTTTGTTTGTTGTCTACGTTTGCTCTCCTGCCCTCTCTCCCTCTCTCCCTCTCTCTCTCTCTCTCATTCTCTATCTCGCTCGTTTGTTTGTTTTTTCGTTAAAAGAAGTCCGGGAGGAGAGAGAGTTTTCTTCAGTCTTTATTGTTTCGCTTTTGTTAAATAAATGC